CAGGTCCCCATAGGGAGGCAATACCAGACGCGATTGGATCCAGCCAAACGCACCGTTGATGTAGAGGCATTTTGTTCGTGATCGGCATGAAGAATCAAAATGCGATCCATGGCTTTTTCTAGGATGGGGCTCACTTTATAAGGTTGTGAAGGCAGGGCAAACATCATCTGTAAGAAGTTGCCTGCATAAGAGAGTTCGTTTGAAGGATAGACGAAAGGATGACCCATTGCGTATTTATACGCCATAGCGGCGATCGGATGCGCGTCGCGTCGGAAACCACGGAAGAAGTTGATCAGTTGTTCATGTACCATCGTATGCATGGTAACGTCTTGTTCAAAATTTTTGAGTTCTTCTTCTGTTGGAAGCTCGCCGTTTAAGAGGAGGTAAGAAACCTCCAAAAAGTGGCTTTTTTCTGCAAGTTTTTCAATGCGGTATCCTCGATGGAGAAGGATCCCTTCGTCACCATCAATAAAGGTAATCTTTGATTCACAGCTGGCGGTGGATGTAAAGCCTGGGTCGTATGTGAAGATTCCATAATCTGCATAAAGTTTACGCACATCAACAACCTTCGGCCCAAGGGTTGCATTCAGTGTGGGCAAAGAAAGTGTGTCCATAGATGCGTCCCTTTCAAAATTAATGGCTAGATTCCCGGATATGCTCATGACTATTCCCCCTAAAATATCGTGGAAGGGATGTTACCATTTTTTAAGGTCTTAGACTAGAGCCGTGGAAGAATGAGGTTTTTGAAGTTAAAGTAAAGGAGCTTATTTTATAGGGAGCTTAGAAAGTGGAATCGCGACCGCTAGAATAAAAGAAAGGGCGATTCCTTGCCAATACATTTTTCTATAAATCATCCATAGGCCTGGAAAAAGTGCGGCAGGCCAATTCCAAGACCAAGTCCATCGGTTTGGGCTTTCTATATGTTTTGGAAGAACAAGATCATAATAGGAGGTTTCTCTTTCAGCAGAGCTTTTTGAGTCTTCAAAATAAGGCCTTAAATCTTCAAGAGTGGCGTTTCGATTGTCTATGCGCTCTCCCTATTAGTGCAGAAGTATTCTATTACAGAAAATGTTTCAAACGCCTTAAGGATTCTTGCTTTCCTAATACGGCCATCACGTCAAAAACGCTGGGAGACACAGTGCGTCCAGTCAAAGCGG